CAGAGGGCACAGTTTGCTTTAAAAGCTGGCTAGTTGTTGGGTCTGAGAAAGTAACCTTAAATTGGAAATCATTACCCTACAGGGACTTAACAGTAGTCAAAGGACATATCCTTGTTAAGCACCTTTTACCCTTTGTTATTGATGTTTAATCATCAGTCTAAATGAAAACACAAAGTCACTGCTGGTAAAGTTTGCAGCTGACATAACTAAAGTAGTAAACAATAATGAAGACAGACAACTGGTCTGCAGAAGTCCCATTTGCCTGGCAAGCCGTGTTATTTTGAGCAACATGTTTCATCATAACAAAACATAAGGCCAGCCATCAAAGACTCAAGGCTAACATTGAGGGCTTACATGTGTAAACAAGGTTCACTGAGACTGGCTTCAGGCCTTGAGGGTGATACAACAGTTCAGAAGAGGGTTCAGGAACCAGATAAGATACTCAACTGAATAGACTCTTCCAGAGGTGACCCCTTAATGAAAGAAACTACTCTCTCTTTCTGTATGAGAAAGGGACCTTTTATATAGCAGGGAAGTTTATTTCCACTACACCCAGTGGCAGTACTTTCTGTTCTGTTGCCTAAAAGCTGCTGGCAAACTGAAAAAGGATCAGTAAATAATTCTGAGAATAACTCATGGTTTGGAAAGTTTGCTTTAAATTGAGAATATTGCTGTGCAAATATACGTATATTTTAATTTAACAAAAGTCTTACTTTAATAGATAAAGCTTTAGGCTAAATGGATTGTGGATCTCATTTTCTCAGAACAGTTGCTCAGCCAGGCTGAGCAATCACTGAGCCTGATTGCTCAATCAGGCTACATCTGAAGCACACCACTTAGACACATGGCCCAGATACAGGTGTTTACTCCTAGCAGCACACCAGAATAAGATTAAGATAAACATCATCCTTCCCAAAAGTCACTGGCAAAGCAAGACTATGAAATATCCTGACAATTTCTTAGTTGCACAATTGGAGGACCAGGAGAGCAGAGTGTCCTTGTGTCCATTTGCCTCGCTTTAAACTCCAACACACTGACCTTGTTATCAGGTTCAACATACCTCAACTCTCTGATCTGCTTATTATAGGGTTCAGCTACACAACCAAGATCATGAGGTGGTAAACCGAGCCCCGGTTGCTGTCTGTGCATTCACTTGCAGCCACAACAAGTAACAGGTGCATCTAATTCAGCTTTGTAGCTTGATCAGGATTACATTTTTTGAAGCAAATTTCCCCATGATCCTGATTTACCATATGGCATTTCATAGTATGGAACAGTTTTGGGTTTTACAAAGTAAACTGCTTTCAGATTAAATCAAAGGAGCAGATCTAATACTTGTGACCCAGCATGGAGTCTGCAAATGACAGAAAGAGACTAGAGCTAATCTAAAGTAAACCCACTACAACATGCATGCAGATTTAGGTTTCTCTACAACCCCCAACCGCTTTGCCCCACACTAGTACAGCCACTGTGTATCCCTCAATTTATTCATCTTTCACTGGTTAAGAAACTGCCTGAAATTGCCATGTGCTGCAGGCACCCATGACCACCCTAACCCCAGCAGCATTCCACAGCTACCATCAACCCACAGTGAGTTACTACCCCACGCTTTCCCCCACTACGTACCTGTGCCTTTGGGATGTGATCTCACAACTTGAACATCACAGAACCCAGACCTTGCTCACACAGCTTCCAGCCTGAGTCTTCACAGACCCTCCTGGAGAGACTCTGAACAGCCCCCAGTCCCTTGTTGCAGCAGCTGCTTGTGAGTAGGTGCCAAGTGAGTGGGTGAGGAGCCCTCCACCAGCCCCTGTGACCTCCTGTCCCAGGGAGCAGTGCTGCTGCTTCTTGTGTGGGCTCATGCTTGCCCTGCTCTCAGGGGTCCGGGCTCCTCTGTGGTGCTCGGATAACAGCCAGCAATTAGGTGAAGTTCTTCACAAACGAAGTTTCCCCTAAGATTAACATCTCAGTGGAGATGAGGAATTGCTCAGCACTTGACATTTTAAGCAGCATGGGGCACTCCTGACAGTGAGAAAATCTGCATACAGGAGTAATCTGGGAACAAAAAGAAATTACACACTTAGGTAAATTGTCCAAGTAATCCAGTACTGTTCTCCACACCCTCTAGCAATAGCAATCTAAACTTAAACTAGAGAATATTGTAATAAATGGCTCAGAATAATGTGAAGTCTTTATGTAAAACTATTTATATTCAAACTTTTAATGCTGCTAAAAACTCAGAAATCTAAAACTCCTTATGGGCAGAGAATGCACAGCATTGACTAAGGCCAGTACTGCCGCAATGCCAATACACCTCGCACAATGATTGCCTTAAAACCTTTGGAAATCAGAGTAAATATTTCCATTGCCATTTCATTGGAAATTTTGTGATTGGAAGAAAACCGAAACATTCTAAAGAGCACACAATATATAACCTGAAAAATAAAAAGGAATAGTCCTGACTGAAGGGGAGCAGATAAGCAACATAAGCAGCACAGGGGCAAAGTGGGCTAAAATCCTTCAATATGCCCCAGGAGCAGCTGGTGTCTTGAGAGGTTCAGCGTTAACACTACAGTCTCAGCTTTGTTGTGTTATACCAGTATTGCAAGCATTGAAAAACTAAGGAAATCTTTACAAACATGTTTTTCTAGTAGTGAGATCCCATTCACAGATTTTACAGGAAAAAATACTTTTCCTTCCTAAAGAAAACTCCAGTCCAAAGAAGACAGGAGAAAACATGTCCCTGAGGAAGCCTGGGCTGCATTACACAGCAAGAGCGATCACTAGTTTTGGAAGAATTATCTTCTGCTTTACAACCAAATATGCCTTGCCTGCAAGTTCCCAAGAACTGGATAAAGGTTTCTTCTTTCACCCTTGTGTGGCCAAGTTGTATTTCTGCTAACAAAGGCAGTGCTTGTTTCCCAGTGGAATACAGCAACTTACAGTAATTTTTTTCCTGCATGACAAGTCAAAGAAGGGGCTGAGTTTTTGTCCAAATATCTCACAATTGTGATCTTTCAACAACTCACAAGGCAGCAAAATGAGAGGCGCTTTCAAGAAATTTAAAAGGAAATTCAATATTCTTGTCTATTTTCTTTGAATGCTACCATGGGGTCTGTTTAAAGAATTATGAAACTGGTTGTGCTGTTTCACAATTCATGTAGACCTATTAACATGGTACATTTGTACCTTCGCTTCTTGACACAAATCACTGAAATTATGGAATGGGTAACAGTTTCTCTCCTGAGACAGCTGTAATGGCAACCTATGACAGAACTGACCCCAAATTCTCAGACACTTAATAAAGAAACGGAAATAAGTTGTCTTCTCAATCACATAATTCTATTTCAGAGTTCACATGTTGCTGTAATTGCTATTTATGGTTTTATTGGAAAAAGAGTAATTCTAAATTCTTCCTAGCATCCTTATTAAATATTTAAATTCAGGCCTAAGATGTCTTGTAACATTTTAATAGCATATCCTCCTATTTAAAAATACAATAACAAAACCTCAACCCAAATCCTAGTGCATATATGAAGCAAAACATTCTAAACACTGTTTAAACTGTCATTTCTTCGCAAAGTACAAGGATGTTTATGCTCTTGTCTAAGGCAAGATAAACAAAGCAGAATACCACTCCATATTTGTAAATGTTAACTCTCAAGGTAGAAACTGGCTTCCGTATGCACCAGGCTTCTGTTTCTTCACTGCTCTAAAAGCCATAATATGACATATGGGTATGTATACATCAAAACAACAAAGATATATGGCCTCACCACAGAAAAAACCTGCAGTCTCACTCTTTATTCCACATATCATCCTGACTTCAAGAAACTTTTCAAAATCGCCTCCAGAAATACATCTTAGGTACCAGACCAGTGGCTTAATAGTATATTTGGGATAATTCCATGGGTCTGAGGGACAGTTGCACCCTCAAATCTGATGCATATCAGAAGTAACTTTCCTAGAGTCAGCGGGGTCTGTCTCTACTGTTGTAAGCATGGTAGAACTATACTACTTCTTTATAAATTTTTAAGAAAATACCGTAAGAATTAAGAAGGATAACATAGCGACCCACCAACTGAATATCGTATAAGGCCAAAGTATTCACACCAACAAGTAGAAGATTGAGAGAAAGAACCCAAGGACAGCCCTTTTATGTGTATGTGTCATTCTAAAATAGACTCCTACAAGCATCCTGGTTAATATAACACACTGTTTGCCAAATATGCACTTTAAAAATAGCAGTCAACTGTATGGCGTACTTCGAGTGGTGTTAGAGCTGTCTAGGTTTTGTTATACAAAGACCATGGTAAGTTATAACATGCTGCCAGTGGAAAAAGAAGTGAAAAACCAAAAACCAAGCTGCAGAAGATTCTTGAATGAGTACCTAACAGGGAAGGTTAAAACGTAAGAGGTGTGTCTTAACTTTAATAAATCAGGGCACTTAGATGCTAAACATGGATTTAGGATCTCCAGGGATTCAGATGTTTAGTTTGGCAACTAAATCTACAGTAAGGCATGTAAGGAAAAGTGTCCAGTATACCAGAAGTCTTATACCCACAGCTCTAACAGCACATAGATATTGATATTCTGCCCAGAGGTGCTATACTCTTATTTTAAAAACTTGGCATAGATTTCAGATCTAGTAGTGTTTTATTTGGGGAGAAACTAGTAAGTTTTTTTGCATTTCTGCTAAACTCTGATCAATTGATTGTTGTCCCAAACTTCTACGTCTCCATTTTCTTAAAACAAATTCCATTGTATTTGACATCTAGCTCATAAGCTCAGTAAAGCAGAAGTTTTTGTATTCATTATTACTGGCCAGAACATTATTAACCTCAAGTGGGACAAGTTATTAATTTGTGTAACTAGAAATTTATGATCAGTAATACTGATCCTTTTTCTTTTGTACAGACAAAAGTAAGTTGAATACATGGTTGCTGCTGTTTTCAAATGACCACTAATTGTGCAATTTGGAATTTGTTTTTGACTTGTAGGTTCGCAGCAAGAGCAAAGCAGCTAAAGCTGGACTGTGTGAGGGAGATGAAGTGGTGTCTATCAATGGCAAGCCTTGTGGAGACTTAACCTATGCTGAAGTTACTGTTCTGATGGAAAGCCTGACTGATGTCCTGCAGATGCTTATCAAGAGGTACAGGAAGGCTCAGAATGCTTTCATGCAGTTCTGTTCAGTGAACCACGTGGAAAATACTGGTTTTGAATGCACTCACTCTGCGACGTACTGTGAGCTTCTGATAGTCCTCTTATTTATGTCTGTAACTTTGCTTGTCTGTACAGAAAAGGGAAGGAAGACAGAGTATTTGATCTGAATGCGTATAATTCAAACAGCAGAGTTCAGGCACAGAATTAAAAGCACAGTCTCCAAATGTAAATTTTTTATTTCTCATTAAGCATTCTTAATACTTACAAGGTGTCCACTACCCTATCTGCATACTGCAGAGTCTTAAGTTATTCTTTCCACCCCTTTGAAGTAGTGAAGTGTTGTTATTCCCCATAGATAGGGAAGTGAGGTTTACAAAAAGCAAAGGCTGTATAGATCGAGAAAGTGTGTTACAGAGATATGCCTTGATGATGACATGGCAAACGGTCTTCTTGGGTGGTAAAATGTGTCAGCAGTCAGGAGGGGGAGAGGGTCTGGAAATCATGAATTCTATTTCTGTAGTTGTTAACACTTCAGTAGATGAGGTGGGGCAAGTCACTTACAGCTCTCTGGGTCTCAGCTTCTCCATTTATTAAATAGCAATAGTGAATTTCAGTTTTCTTTGAGAATACTTCGAGCTTCTCAGAGTAGAGAACCTTCTTGTAAATTTGCAAGCAAGCCAGCATTACTGCTCACAGCACATCAGTCTTCTAATGACTGTTCTGTGGTTGTCATCAGTGTAATGCATGCAATCTTGGGTTCAAAACCACCTACAGTAAGCATATTCTCCCCAGACTTTTTGAATTTGGACAAGATGAACTCTGAATTGCCTTCAGTGTGGGTAAGAAGAAAAGGAAGAAAAGACCTGAGCACTCTCCTTTTAAGGAATTATGGCTCTCTCCTGAGCTACTATAGTTTCCTGTGTCTGCTCTCCCACAGGCACGAGAAGGACAGAAGGGCTCATCACAACAGCTAACAGAGCAGTGTCACTGGAAAGGCTCTGAAAGGCTCTGAAAGGCCTCTGGTGCAAAAAAAGGCACTTGTCTCTGGTTACCAGGGATGTCTAAACAGCATGTGAAATTCCTCTGTGGTTTCTGCAGCCTGCGCAAATAAGCTTTCCTAAAGTGTCTAGTAGTTCAAAGTTACAATCTGCCTCCAAAACAAGAGGCTTTCAAGGAGTATTCATTTTATTTATAACAGACATTTTGCATGGCCTGTCTATGCCTGTCATCTTGGGCTGAGTAATGAATCGATGTGATGAGATCAGGGGAAGAATGATAGCTGAGGATTACATCTTACCTTCTCCATAGTCCATAGCTCGTTTCTAGTTCATCAGTGTACCATCTGAATGCTCCTCATGTGATATCTGTATTCTTATGTTTTCAATTCTTAACATGACTACGGAATTGCACTTGTAAAAATTGTATTTGTGGCTGACCAGCTGTCTTCTTTGCAGCCATAGAAATAGCTCCCTATGCTTTGACTCCTGCCTGTCGCTCCTCTGTAACTGGTACTACTGTGAAGACCACAGTACGCTCTAGCTGAAGGTGACAGAACATCTTCCATTGCCCCTGCCTGAATGTATGGTGAATGGCAAGACATTTCCTGAAAATCAGAAAGAAAACAGTGCTTAGACCACATAATTCAGTGTTTCATGGAGTGAAACTGTGTCTGTTTTAGAAATTCTAAGAAAATTGCAGTTGCTCAACACCTCATCTTAGCATCCTCTGAGAGCAACAAGAAGCAAATCCTTCTTTTCCTGAGTAGCCATTTGTTAGATGCTATCTCAAGAAAAAACTGGAAATCATAAGGAAAGAATAATGCCTAATTAAAGTGGTGTTACAGTGGTGATCTTTACATCCAAGCTGGCAGGGAAGAATATTTCTCCTTGGGAAGCTTCTGACTGTTCCTGAACTACTTGCGTGAAGGATGAGGTTTTCATACACATTCATTGTTAGCCAAATTCTGCTGTTATTAAGCCTAGTGGGAGAAAAATTGGGCTTTTAAATTAGTTTTTAAAATGCTACTTGCCATTTGATGTCTGCAAAAAGTTCTCCCAATCCCCTGTAAACCACAGTCAGTTACTGAACAGCAGTATCCACAAGATCTTTGGTTTACAGGATGAGAGGAAAGAGACACCCTGCAGGGCAGGCACTATCCAGATACCACGTGGGGGGACATTTTACTGACCTTCCTGACAAAGGCTGAACAGATATATCTGGAAAATATTGAGAGTGGGGACAGAAACAGAAACACTAGCCCACTCTTTTCACATCAGTTTTAGCAACTCTTGGGCTACTGCTGAGTCTAGAAAGAAAATTTCTAGGGGGGAGCAGGGAGTGTGCTCAGTGCATACCAAAATGAAATGCACCATGTAGGGAGTAAAACACGACTGAGACAAACCCTGCACTGTCTCCATGAGTTCTGCTTCCTTCCTGGAACTACACCAGGGGTGTTGCTCCTGCAGTGAGCTGGAAAGACCTGAAACAAAAATAATAATTTGAGAAAACAGAATCTTAAATGACAAAAAAGAGATCAGACCCAGTACTCTGCCTCTTGACACATGGATACACATTTATGTCTATATAGAGTAGAAGTATATCCATAAGTAGCAAGGGCCTTTTAAGTCTTTCTCTCAAACATACACACAATCACTCAGCTACCAATAAAGGCTAACATTTAGCTGTTCCAGCCCCTAGTCTCATATCTTACAAGGAAATGTTTACAGATTTCTGTAATTTATCTGTACTTAAGAGCAGTACAATTGATCATCCAAATAGCATAATATGATGGAATCCAGCAGCACTCACAAGGAGCTCCCTAAATTAAAATCTGTCTGACCTTTATGTAGTTCCATATGTGGTTTAATGGATGTTACATGATTTGTGCTATTTGAGGCAGTCCCAGAATGCTACAAACAGTGTGGCTGCATAGTTAGAAAAGCAAATGATATTGAAATTTCTTCAGTGCGCTGACAGATTTATTTCTTCTGTTGCTTCTTTCAGCCTTTCTTTGTAGGGAGTTTCAAAGTTTCAGAATACTTGGGACCCGCTTTTGATTTCAGAAATCTCCACAATACTTGATATTAATACTTTACTGAGAGTACCTACTGCTTCCCTTATTTGAAAAAGTGCTTTGCTACCTTCTAGTCAACAGAAAGCTTTAATAACATGCTGCAGTCTTGCTGTACAGAAAAGGCTTCCTCTCAAATTAATAGTAGTTAATATGGCCCAGAGTACTGAAAGAAGAAGTTAGAGAGTACACTAGGAGTCCTAACGCCAGTAAGACAGCCTAACTGGGCCAGGACAATGAATAGTTTTTAAAAGGGAGCTACACTGAGATATACAGAAGGCTTCAGGATTTAAAGTAACATTTACCAGTTAGAAATATGTATTTTTTAATAACTAGGAAATATTCTATGGGTTTGCTACCCTTTTTCACTAGATAACTGGAACAGGCCCAGAATGTTTTAATTATTCCATGATATATAAGGATGATGATCCTCACAGGAATTCTTTGAATGTGTATTTTAAGTATTTATTCTCCTCCCTCTGATCCTCACCCACTACTTATTTATTCCCTAGAGAGTAAAATATTTGGAACAAGAACTGTATGTGAGGATGGTGTCTAAAACAGTTGCAGTAGTAGCCGCAGAGTCAAAAATTAACCACTCTTCTGGTGTCATGCAAAGTTAATTTTCTCATGCACACATGAAATATGAGGAAGTATTGTCCCAGAAGTCTCAGCAGCATTTTTCTGGAAACACTATAGCAGAAATGTGTCTGTGAAAGCATACTGATGTTAGGAATGATATAGTCCAACGTTGCAGAAAGATGGAAGTAAGGTCATAGTTCTACCGCAGTAGTGTAATTTCCCTCTTACTGAATGTTAAGTTGAAGAATTTTGAAAGATGCAAAGATGCTTCAATTTAAGACTTCTACATTCTGTGAAAATTCTTCTGCTTAAATGGACCTGCTAGCAGGTATCAAAATTAATACAGGGGAAAATATACTATACAGAAATTGCTTTTGTAACTGTACTTACAATTGCTGTGCTTACAGCAGCTTAATTTCTTGTATTACTTGTTTATGTATGTGCAGATCCTCCAATGGAATAAATGAAACCTTGAGTGCTGAAAGAGAAAATGGAAAGCACCATGACATAAAGAATGAGGACTATAGGGAGAGTACCACACTGCAAATTAACACAGCGAAAGAGATACCCCATGGAGATTTATGTATCACAGAGATATACAGTGAGACTCACCAGGGAGCAGAAGAAAGCAACATACATTATTCTGAAATGAAACAAGAGATCGCACAAAGCCACAGAATTACTCCTAAAGTGATAGGCACCTCCAAAGTGCTTGTGACAGATGAGGCTGCTCTCAGAGGGAAGACAGAAGAAAGAAGGCCAGGTACTATGGTTGAGCTGCAGTTGTCCCTCTCAAATGATGCACACAAGGGCACCAATGCTCCTGCTGTGACTCTCTCAGGGGCAGAAAAATGCAGCCCTTCAGGAAGAGGACCCAGTGTACAAGATGGGACTAGCCCTGTAATCGCAATTCCCCTGGGTGTGAAAGAGGGCAACATCCAGTGGTCAAGCAAAGTAGTCCAGTTTTCTAGTGGCAAAGAGGTCAAGAGGATCCAAGGTGCAGCTCCATCTCTCCCCAGGGTGGAGGTGATCCTAGACTGTTCAGAGAGGGAGAAGGAAGCACCCAGGTCTCTAGCTGAAAGGGGGTGTGTTGATTCTCAAGTGGAAGGAGGGCAGTCAGAAGCACCTCCTTCCCTCCTCTCCTTTGCAATCCCATCAGAAGGCACAGAGCAGGGAGAAGACGACCAGCACTCTGAAAGGGATCACAGACCTCTCAAGCACAGGGCAAGGCACGCAAGTAAGTATCTCGCATCTAATCATTTGCACTGCCTGAGGGTATCTTTTGTAACTTTTAACATAATTTCAGAATTTAGACAGCATTTGAAAAAAAAAGTTTAGAAGCTTTTTTCTGCAATTTTCTAACCTCCCCTCCATCTTTTTCTTTTAAATGATGTTTCTATTCTTGCTTTATATATTTTTTCAGGGTAATACAATGCTCCTGGTGATGAGCCAAGAATATACCCATGCCTTAACTGTGCCGAATAACTTTGCTTAACACTTTGAAATTAACTCATGACTTTGTCCAACTAAAAATACTTACATCTCCAAAAAAGGCTGAATTCCACTGGTCTTCTAATGTATATTCAGAGGCAATCTGTAGAATATTAACAAAAAAAGCAAGTTGCTTGTGCACATCTAAGTGAATCCTGTGGATTTCTCCTTTTATAGCAAAAATTTTGTATTGTCATTTGCATCATCTAAAATCAAACCCATGCCACGGCTCTTAAAAGTTAATAAAAAAGCTTAGTAGAAAAGCTTGATATTGCCTGCAGAACAGATTTTGACAGACACTAGCATGTGTATAACTGTTACATGATCCTTTCAGTTTTGTCAGTCTTCTCTAGACTGTAAAGTGAACATGCTATTTCTTCTGACTCCCATACCCAGAGGTCAGCTTCAAAATGTGTCCAAGAAGTTTACATGAAAATAAACTTGCAACTGGATCCAATATTAATTGAGTGTAGACATATATTGTTTATTTATTTATCTATCTATTTATTTATTTATCGTTTGATTCATTTAGGACCTTTCTATTGGTTGCTTGCTCTTTCCCAACAATGTTAAGAATCCTGTCTGGGGATTTAGTAGCAGTATGTCAAAGGTGCTCGAATGTGTGCAGTGATATACTGTAGCAACAAACTATTTCATATGCAGTGTTGGAATTAGTCTGCTAAGCCACTGCTAATTCCTCTGTAAGCATATTTTTAGCATGATAACCATTTGTATCTTATTGGCAAGTGGATTAAGCAGTTACTTATGCCTAAGTGTCTGTATGCAAACCACATATTTTTGGCATATTAAATGAAGCATAAAATAAAAGTGCACATGCTTTACATTTTGGCTGTGAAGTCAGAACCAACTCTGGGACTATGCCTGTCTTAGACAATTACTTGCAGTGTTTCTCTAATAAGGCAAAAGTATAAAGAAGGGACTGTGAGGAATGCTGCTTTCAAGTAGGATGTAGATTCTGCCCTTTTCCCATCTCAATTATGACAATCTCAATGCCTTCTAATCTAGTGGCAAGTCATTATCCTTAGGAACCACTGATTTAATCTATAAAAACTTTTGCTTTTATTATTATTATTATTATTTGTAAAATACTATCTACACATTAGAACAAACGAATTGCCAAGCATAGGGGAACAATCTGTGTGCAGGAAATATTATGCATGTTTTTTGTAAAATTAGAAGTTATAATGGGTGTTTAAGTCTAACCATGAGATGTAGCGGTAGAATATAAGGAAGGGGAAGAAACAGGAATACCTCCTGACTAGCCTTGTCTCATGAGGCACATGGAGCATGTCAAATAACAAGGAAGTATTCATGCTCATAAACAGTTTTACAGCCACATAAATTCCTGTTCCACATGACTTGATGAAAACTAGTAATTTGTGCTTTAAGAAATATTATTGACATATGCTTTAAGAAGTATTATTGACATATGCTAGTGAATACTCTTGCAAAGTTAGTTGAGCCTCTTCCATTCAGTTCTTAAATGTGTATTCATTCTCGCCACATTTTCAAAACAAATATTCTGGAGCTGTTATATCCTATATAATTTTGGATTAAATTTCAGGCTAGTAATGCTTGTTAAAAGACTGAAACCTGCTTTCATTGATTGCCATGGCCAAACTCCCATGTCTTCCAAGGGGTGAAAGTTAATGCTAATGGTTTCTGTGTATGCCTTTTTGGATGTTCACTTGCTTTTAAATAGCTAATACATAGAAGCATACTGACTTTTAGTAAATTATACACATTTTGTAATACATATGAGCAAAATAAACACATAAATGGCAGGAGCTGCTGCCACCATCAGACAGAATACACTCAGTTTCATTTAGTCTTAGGTGTTAAGCAGTCATGGGCCTGGCTGGCTGGGAATGTCTGCCGAAAGCCTAGGAACTGTGGTCAAACACTTGGTAAATACTAGACCACAGAAAGTGAACAAATGAGAAAATATCTTCTGCATGTTGCTACTGAGATTACTTATGGTAATAAATATCAAGAACACTAGAAATAAAGAAACAAGTAACATTGCTGTGGAACTAAGACAGTCCTAAAGAAAGTGATGTAGCCTTTGAACTTGCATGGGTGTGACTCTAAGGAATGCTGGGTATGGAATTTAAACATAGTTGATATTGTGGGAAAAGTATGATGATCTCTCCATGCAAACGAAATGTTTTAATATGGGAAGGGGACAGTGAGTAAATTTCAGCATAGATAAATGCAGAACTGTTTGTTATTAGTTTCCTTGTATTTTTCTGGGCTGCATGCAATTAAATGTGCACTTCAATTCTCTCCATAGGGCTCAGACGAAGTGAGAGTCTGTCAGAGAAGCAGGTCAAAGAAGCCAAATCTAAATGTAAAAGTATTGCATTGCTGCTGACAGCAGCTCCCAATCCCAATTCCAAGGGGGTGTTGATGTTCAAGAAGCGTCGTCAAAGGGCAAGGAAATATACTTTAGTTAGCTACGGTACTGGGGAGTTAGAACGTGACGAAGACGAGGGTGAAGAAGGTGAAGGTGAAGAGGGGGACAAAGAAAACACTTTTGAAGTGAGTTTGCTTGCAACAAGTGAGTCAGAAATAGATGAAGATTTCTTCTCTGACATTGACAACGACGGTAAGATTGTGACATTTGACTGGGACAGTGGTTTACTTGAGGTTGAAAAGAAGACAAAAAGTGGAGACGAGATGCAGACGCTTCCAGAGAGCACAGGTAAAGGGGCCCTCATGTTTGCCAAGAGGCGGCAGAGGATGGATCAGATTACAGCTGAGCAGGAGGAGATGAAGGCACGCACAGTGCATACAGAGGAGCGAAGGGAAGCCACCGTGTCAGAGAACTTCCAGAAAGTAAGCTCTTCAGTCTATCAAACAAAAGAGGAAGAAATGTCACGACAGCAGACCTGTTTGAGCAAAAGCTACACAGACATGAGCCAGAATCATAGCAAAACAGTACAACAAAATGGCTTTGGCTTAGCACCAGACACAAACCTCTCTTTTCAGTCCTCTGCAGCTCAAAAAGCAGCATCCTTGAACAAAACAGCTAAACCCTTCCCTTCTGGTGTTCAAAACCGGGCAGCTGCACCTTTTTCACCCATAAGAAATGTCACTAGTCCTCTTTCAGATATACCAGCACCACCTGCTTACTGCTCTATTAGCCCACCACCCGAGGCTTTCTACAGACCTGTTTCAGCTCCTGTAGCCAGCAGAGCTGCCCCAACTGTGTGGTCACCCAGCGAGCCAACAGAACACATAGCATCCAGAGATGAAAGGATTGCGGTGCCAGCCAAAAGAACTGGGATACTGCAAGAGGCAAAGAGAAGAAGCACTTCAAAACCTATGTTCACTTTCAAGGAAGCACCCAAAGTAAGTCCTAATCCTGCCCTGTTGTCCCTTGTACATAATGCAGAGGGCAAAAAAGGTACTGGAGCTGGTTTTGAGTCAGGACCTGAAGAAGACTACCTCAGTTTGGGAGCAGAAGCTTGCAATTTCATGCAGACTCAAGCATCTAAACAAAAAGCCCCTCCCCCTGTCGCTCCAAAGCCTTCACTCAAGGTCTCTCCTACTGCTGGTACTCCAGTGTCACCGGTCTGGTCACCTTCAGCTGCGGCTTCTAACAAGGCTCCTTCTTTCCCAGCACCAGCCTCACCTCAGGCAGCATATCCTGCACCACTCAAATCTCCACAGTATCCTCATTCTCCTGTCCATCCCCCAAGTACTCTTGACCTAGCTGGTCCTTTCAAAGGGCCTCAGGCAACCCTAGCAAGTCCAAACCATACACCCAAGACAACACCAGTCACACCAAGTGCTGGAGAAACAAAGCCACCCTTTGAGATGCCACCAGCTATGAGTGGAAAAGGAGCACAGCTATTTGCCAGAAGGCACTCTCGAATGGAGAAGTATGTGGTAGATTCAGAGACTGTGCAGGCAAACATGGCACGAGCCTCATCTCCAACTCCATCTTTACCAGCTTCTTGGAAATATTCATCTAATGTCCGTGCACCTCCACCTGTTGCTTATAATCCCATCCACTGCCCATCTTATCCTCCTGCTGCTAGCAAGCCTTCCTCTAAGTCCACCGCAGCTACCAAAAATACAAAAAGAAAACCTAAGAAAGGTCTCAATGCTTTGGATATTATGAAACATCAACCTTATCAACTTGATGCATCTTTATTTACCTTTCAACCTCCTAGTAAGGAAAGCCTTGCTATTAAGCAGACATCAAAGTTGCCCACTTCAAAGCAAGCTCTACCTTTAAGACCACCTAGTGCTGGCTCTCCTACTAACGTCCGGGCATCTTCAGTGTACTCCGTGCCAGCCTACGGTTCACAACCTTCGTTCCAATCAAATGCCTCTATCCCAGTAAATGAATCATATTCACCTACAAGCTACTCTGCATTTTCTAAGCCAGAAACCACCACATCTTTGTTTACTGCTCCGAGGCCAAAATTTTCAGCAAAGAAAGCTGGCGTCACTGCACAGGTGTGGAAGCCTTCAATTATTGAAGAGTAAACCTTATAGCCAAAACTTAGTGTCCATTTTGCTTGCAACCAATTGTTTGCAGTGGTAACTTGGCATGGAAACATTGCCAATAGCTTACTTTATAACATCAGACTTATCACCTCAAATCTGGGTCCAAAATACTTGAACTGTTTTAAGAATAAAAACAGATACAAATTTTAGCACATTTATGTATATTATCAGCTGATTTATACACGTAACATCCTGAAATTCATAGATACCATTGTATTATATAAGCAGGACGCTAGGTTTTTGCTTTAGGACTACTACAACAGAAACAACAGTAAGCAATATTCCTGGTATGTCAAATTAATAGAGAAGAGCTTCCTTTCTTCTCCCCTTCCCAACTATGTTCTAATGACCTAGGGATTTGAGGATTATTTTTTTTTTTTAAGAAGTGCCTTATTAAATGAAATTAATAGTAACATGTATTAATAACATAGCATAAAATAGATACCATATTAGACTCTGACTGATCACTAACAGAATACAACTGGATAGACATTTGGCCTGCACAGAACCCCACTGAATTCAGTTGGAATCTGTCCTGGCTCAAAGGTCCTTCCACAGAAATCTGGTTGATCGGCCAGGGCTCAGTTTGTAAGCTATGTGGATCAGCTGTGATCCAAAATCATGAATTGCCTCTGTGATTTCACAGAGAATGTCCTATAAGAGATGCTGGAATGTCCTAAAGACTAAAAAAAAGATGGAAAGACAGCTGGAAAAATTATTAAAGATTTCCCATTTTGGGGAAATTTGACATCCCAAGTGCAGACATACTTGTAGCCAAAGTTTGCTTTGAATCCAGCAAGTAAGATAGAAGCCAGTAAATCAAAATTATCGAACAGTCAGAGAGGTGAGATGGGTTTTGCAGCTGCAATGTAATGCAATAGTTTCTTGTGAAAGCACAGTGATGGAGAACTGAGGGGACAGATACATTCAAGAGTACTGATTTTTGCAACCAGAGTAGTATATGCCACAGAAATTAGCACTTAACAGTAAATCATAAATATGATCATGTCTTCCTATTGGTCTCTCGTACATATTTTATTATTTTCACTTGAGGCTTTACAGTGCTTCTTCCCACTTCAAATCTTTTTACTCTGGTCTTATACTTTCACTTTTTACTTGTCGTATTGGGGCCCAAGTATTGAAATACTGCTACTGTAGAAAATTCTTAAGAGTCCATGGTCTTGAAACCTACTGTATGATATTGCAGTGAATACACAGTCTTGCTGAAATCAAGGAGCTATATTTGAATAGTTTAGCATGTTTTTCAGTAAGCAGTCCTGTTAACATCAGTAGTGCTAGGTCTGAAACAAGGCGTTTCACACAACTAAAGGTATCAAAATCGATCCCAAGTGTGAAGCTAAAGATTAATGCATCAGTCTATGAATAAAGGTGGCAGAATCTGTTGATATATTTGTTTAAACTACCATTCAGCTAGCTACAGACCAGATTACTGATATTTTATATCTTAGAGGTTTTAGTAGAACTATCTATCTTGACGAAGAAAACATTCCCTAGTATGAACAACATCTCATTAGTTTGGTACCATAATGTAGCTCAAACTGTGATCAAACTTGAGAAGAAGTAATTTGGTTGTACAAGCAGAAAGCAGACTGGAATCAAAGTCTAATCAAGCCAATAAAAATCACTCCTTTGAATTTTGGACCTCTGAAATCCTACTCTCCCCTTTAAATTTTGGACTGGGATCCTGACTGCATTCAGAAGAAAATGACCAAGTGATCCACCTCCCTCCTAAAATTCAGGAGAATTATGGGAAATTTTTAAAGAAAAATTGTTTCAAAAATTCAAGAAATAATTACACTGCGTTTACATGGAAATAGAAAGTAGCAATATTTTAATTCTTTGGAGATCTCCCTTCTATCTGTTCTTCACTATTAATATCTGTATTTTTCTTCTATCATTAAACTTGTCCCTTTCCTCTCTGCCTGCTTGGTTTTTTTTTTCTTTAGTTTGGTTCCTATTTTTTTGTTTCACTTACATGTACAGACTGGCAGCCTATTTTAGGGGAAATTTATTTTCTATGCTATCCTATTAATATGAAATCTTGTCCCTCCCCTTCTCTTTCCTTTTTCCCTTCCCTTTCCCCTTCTCCTTCCCTTCCCCCTTCCTTTTCCCCTTTCCTTTTCTCCCTCCTTCAGTTTTATCTGAAGTTACATATACTATTTTAGGTAGAAGTTTAAGATGCTAGTACCTACTTGGAATAAAGATACTCTACCAAAGATAAGTAGTGCTGCTAGAGATATATAGAAATCAAATCAGCCTCATACTGCCTTACATGTTTTTACTTAGAGTCTCCTCCTGTAAAATACATCTTTAAATTATAATCACACTTCTGTACTTGTTCACTTTAGCACCCCAAGAATATTTCCTTAAGGAGGAGATTTTTAGCAGTTTTGTACTTATACCACACGTGTCGATGTTCATGCATGTGGCTACTAACAAGATACAGTAGCCTACACAGAATGCCCACCAGATCATAGCAGACTCAGGTCAGTAACTTGGAATTCACCACCACCTGCTGAGGAACCTGTGTGAAAGACGTGAATTACTGAAATCTAACTTCTAGGTTTATTTATGCCTACACGGCATACCACTTTCCAAGTAAGAAATACCAAGCATTATTACTCTAATTATTAGCAGAAAAAAAACAGGAGGTAAAGCTGGGATATATTCTCATCCAAAGGAAATCTGCTCTCCAGAAAGATGAAGTCAAGTTAATAGGAGCCAGAAGAAAGCTGTGGACTGAAACAGAGCATTTCAGTTTCCTGAGTCATCTGCCTAGACTTAAATTCACCTGAAAGACAGGAATGCATAATTGTCACCTTTAAAATAATTTTGCTATTTCTTTCACTTTCAGCACTACCCAAAAGTTCACTTAGGAAGTCGACTAAATCATATCCATGTTTACAGCAATAATCAAAAAGTCATCTTCTGTGATAGCAATGTAAAATGTAGCTATAAGCATGTCTTCTCTTTACTTTGCCCAAAGGAAAAGGAAGTGCATCTATGCTGAAAAATTTGGATTTTGATCACATTTGGATTATTTCCCTGTTATTCAAATACAAGTATTTCATGTGGCCTATAGCAATGACAGAAAGATTTTTTAAAGCAACAGTAAGAGTAAAAAGAAAAAACCCCAGTGACACTAGTCCTCTTCAATCAGGTAAAATTTTTTGAAAAGCCCATTCAAAGTCAAACTCTGTATTCAATTTCATATGTACACATAATTCTACATGCATAGTGCTTGGATCCAACTTGGCTTCAAGACTCCTTTTACTAATCAGGTAAGTCTGTAATTCTTATTAATATTTCAGAAGACTAGCCTACTTAAAGTAATAGTTTTATCCTAAATATGATCTCCTGTGAAGCAGATATTTAGAGGAAAGTTGAACTGTTCAATGTCATGAGTCCAAATTAAAAGCTAATGATGGTGTCAGGCATAGCTGAAATGTCAAGAAAATAGATGGTTTGTGTAGAGAGGAGCCATCTGAAATTTCACTTTGAAAGGGCAGTGAGCTTTTGTAAATGGTTTTCTAAAAAGCTACTAGAATTATTTTAATATAATATGACAAGTCTAGCAAGATCAACTGTTATGTTTACTATGTAAGCATATTTAATGGTGAATTTTAGGCCACCCCTAATAACAAGACTTTCAGTATGTTCACATTAAAAGAGGAATTTAAGTGCTTTATGTTGTTTATAGCACATTTAATTGTAGCACGTATTGGGGGTATTATACTGCACCAGTTTGGATCTGGCATTGTGTACAGCCTTTTCATACAGCTACCTCAATCAAGGGTTTATATACTTTCAAATTCTGATTCAGTTATAAGCCTCTTGTTATAAAACCTGAATTGAAAAATTTTGTTTTGGAGATGAGTAGCTTTTAGACAAAAAGTTAAAACTTCTGTGGCAAAAATAAAAGACAAAATTTAGTTCTTGAACACAGAACTGCTTAATGTGTCCCCACTTCTCCAGAGGAACCACCCGTACCATGTTCCTGCTCAGCAAAAACTAATGCGTTATTTAACAAACAGAAAGATATTTCCATAATCATTTTCTGCAGCAATATTTACAGACGAAACATTACCATCTCTTAAAAGTAAGTTTCATTCTTTTGCTTTCTGCTGTCTTATGGAAGAAATAATTTTGCCGGTGTCCTAAGACATATGACGATATGTTGCTTTGTTCCAAAAGCACCTGGCTGATGGCGTGGGACTTTGTAATACACTCATATCAAGCCTCACAGCAAGGAATAACCAATTCTCTCCTAGAAACACTGGCAATTCTTTTTGAGATCAGCCATCAAAAGGACGTTTCAGTTTAATTTTGTCTGAATTCTTCTTGCACTGACCCTAACTTTATATTCCTAGTTTTATTTCTTTTCTATACCTAATTTTATTTCATATGAGACATTCAGGACTCAAGACACAAAATCAGCCCTAAAACTGAAGTGACCCATTTTGCTGTCACCACAGTTACCATGTAGTGATGAGGGTTTTTTTGTTTTTTGGCAGAGTGCTGTTATTGTTCACACTATATCAAATGTTGAGAATTGACACAAATTTGTATTTGAAGTAAAGAAATACTAAGAGAGTATCTGCAGGTTCCAGAAATTAGGAAGTGAGGGGCTGGTGTGTGGTTCAGATAGGAAAATGAGTGCTAAGTTGCAGAGCAGCAATTTTGAGAGAAAAAACTATTAGGATTAGAGGGAACCAAACAGTGGGGAGAAAACTCCAGTAAGAAAGCAGAGACTGCACAGATAAAATACCTATCAGAAGATCATGAAATACTGAAGGTACAAGAGAAGAAAACAATCAGCAAGAAGGGCTTAATTATTCTGCACAGAGATGGCTGGCTATTTCCAGCCTTTTGATGAAATGGTTTAGATTATTCTTGGATGATGGGCATGAATTTTTTCCTCTATTGTTTACAAAAAGTTATTGTGAAAGACCTGAAATGCTAATACCCAGCAAAAATAAAAAAGCGAGCTTTAAAAACAACCCACCCTATCAGCAGACTAGTGCTCTGAGAGACAACATATCTATAAACACATTATCCTAGACAGCTCCTACACACAAGAGTTGTCAAAAGTGCTAAGGTGAACTCTGATAAAAGATTGTAAGCAATTATAAAGACAACCTGACACCAGATGATGTGATCTGGAAGGAGCACTGTTTATCAAGTATCCAGGACAACAGCTCAACAAAGGACCAGCCTCACCATCATGCCCTGCTGCTTCACCATCTCTGCGGGGAATCCTCTGTACACTATGAGGTACGGAAATACCAGTGAAACAACAGCCCTCTTCGCAACTAACAATCTGCAAAATCTTTCTCCTCTCTTTTTTCAGGATCCTTTTCCAGATTTCGTAGCTTTAAGAATAGAAAATGGTTGGTTTTAAAAAGATCCACTCTTCCAGTCTTGCCTTTTTAACAAAACATGATACAACTTTCTTTGCCTGAAGTCAAACACCCAGGACTCCACTGATCGCTTTGGCAGCTCAGCATGGCAAGTGCAAATCTTAATTACACAGCTTGGCATAACATTATTTTATAATGAGTCTACTCAGCTTGAAATAGAAACGTTATACAAAGAAGAAACTTGACAACATCTTCAAAAATCTGCGGATTCAGAAGCTCTGAATTACTCACAGCTGGTAGATTTCTTGGGAAAATACGTGAGCCTGATAATTGGTGCCACCGTCACAACTTCACAGTACCCATGACAACGACTGTTGTTACTTTATAGTAAACATTACCTTTGCACATGATTACATAAGGGAGGAGTTGGAATCCCTTGAGACCTATGTTTGACAAGTGCATGTCAGGCCACTTGCTTACTACAGGAAGCACTTCAGGTTTTTTATCAAATGATTTAAAAAGTAGGAAAAATCCTGAAGCTCAGTGAAATACTATGTTGGAAGGATCTCTACAGAAGCAGACTTGAACTCTTCATTTACAAGATCAGAACAACCGTATGATGATAGTTCCCTTATTTTAACGCTTGCTTCCTTGAGGCAGGCAAAGACTTTTTCTTTATATGGCATGCTAATCAAGTCTCTGCTATCCTCTGCAGTATTCATAGGCAAAAAATCTATCCCTGTTTATAATGATCCTGACAAACTGTTCTGAATTTCAGTGCATGTGAAACCTGCACAAACTTTTGTGGTAGTATGTTATAATAACTGCACGTTCCTTTAGGGCAAGGAAACTCGGCTATCAGAAAAATAACTTACTGAAAAATGCTTACAGATTGACTATCTGGATGAAGGCTACCTGTGTGGGGTAATCGTTGTAACAATAGTAAGTGTTTTCAAACAAGAATTCTTGATTCTTTTTTCTATGTCTTTAAAACAGACATCTTAAAACAGAGTCCCCTCATAATTCCAGGCAATTGAAAGATAAGCTGGTCATTTCTAAATCGGTGTAAAGACTAAACTGTTGAACAGATGGAGTGTTTCTCTTGATGTTTCCATCTAGATCTGAAACAATAGATTGTATCTGACTTTAAAAAAGCACAACAAACAGAAGAAAAGGAGGAACGTTACAGAAATAAAATACACTCCCAATCACTGTAACACATGCTGGATTACAAAGAGTGACATGAGCACAACACTCATTCATTTCAGTACGAGCTTTAACTGGTTGCAAAGCAAAACATTTAGTACATTTATATCAGAAGCAAAAGTTTCCATATAGTAATGACGTATGGACAAATACATGCAGTTTTTTAAAGACATCTTTTTTGCAAAAAACCCCTTTTAAAAAAAAAACAAACCTCAATAACTGCAAGTGATTTTCTATTTGATCTGTGAGAATGCTACTTCTTATACTGTCCCTGTGCAGGTTGTTGTTGGTACATGGCTTTATTACTGTGAACAAAAGCAAAGCACGAGCATCTGTGTACACTTAAGTTTTTTCCTTGAGTCTTGGTAATTTTCCCACATCAGGACTATAACTTAAAAGTGGAGCTGAAGCAAGTGACCAGAAAACCTCAAAATCTGCCTGCAGTTTAATTTTCTTTGGTTAAGTAAACAGTTCAAGATATGTACAGATATTTCTGCAAGTACTAGCCATACTACCTGAATATCTTTTATGAAGCAAATAGGGCTGTAAGTTCCTTCAGAAAAGGTTTACACATACTTCATTGCTGCTTGTTTGGCTGATGTCAGAAAGTGCAGAGGTGTGACAAATGAGACAAAAATTTTCCTGATAGCATCCCATTAAAAATTCAAAATATTACACAAAATGAGAGGCAGCAATGTAACTATTTATGGTGATGTAAATCTGCACCTGTACTGTACTCTTGTTGCACAGCTGTCAGCATTTCAGATATACAAAATGATGAACTTTTCCCATCCTAAGATTACTTTCAGAGAGGTGTTTTGGTAGAGAAACTTGACAGACTTGCTACTGCTACAGGAACAGTACTGAACCAAGCACATGACCCTATGTAATTATGAAAAATCAAAGTTAAATACTACTGCTTAGATTGCAAAATGAGGCACTTAGCATAAATGTTAACCCAACCGTCCTGGGCATTTGTGTGATTAAAACATCTGTAAGCATCACATTATCTGCTATTTTTTTCTGTAGGACTCCTAACTCAATTCAGGGCACAGAATGGTACCACTCATCTGATGAATAGCTCTTCACTATTTTGTTTTAACATTGTTCCATGCTTAGCACCATTCCTTCCTTAATATGCATTCTTCAAAATGTGTTCTCCATGCAAAATTATCTCCTTATACATTTTTTTGTTTATATCTAAGTCAGTCAGAAATCATAGTTCATTTTTACACTATTGCATTCTACAAATAAGTAAATAAGGCATGAAGAGTGCAGCACCGATATTAGGACACTCAGTAGCCTTGGGTATCCAGTTCAAGGCACTTAGTATCTTCAGAGACCACTAGCACATGAACTAGCTACTGTATCAAAGCATGTGATCCCTAACATCAGTCTGTGAGTGTTAACAGATCACAGGGCTCCAGGTGGAAGCCCAGAAAGGGAATCCTCATTGACGAGCTATGAAATCCATCCAGTGAAAGCACCTTTTGCATAATATATTCCTTTGCTATATCATCCTAGTATTTCCTAAATGAAGCCCTGAAACAGCTTTGGGGCAGAACTCCTGAAATTTAATCAAAATGCATATGCATTTGGCAATGAGGCTTGCATTTCATAACTTTACTTCACCTTCCAACTTCACTAATATTGCTTTAAGGTAGCTTTGTGTGTTTAAGACACAAGGGTTTTCTAAGAACAACAAACCAAACCCTGGAGTACTATCACATAGCATACTGTAACCAAGGGGTTCCCCCAGCATGGCTTGAATCACAATAGACAACTGCCATCAGGCTGCTACAGTTTAACTGGCAGCAAATGCATGTTGACAGACTGCCTGTGAATGGAGGATGACACAGGTTTCCAACAGGGTGTCACAGTCTTTTCTGACAGCAGAGAGACCAAGAAAGGACAAACTCCATTCCTCTGGGTAAGAAATTTCCCTGGAACTCTGGAGGAATGTATACAGTAGTGTACACAGGTTCTTTTTCCCAAACATACCTTCCTTGTCCCATTTATTAATCTTTTTCTTTTCCTTGTCTGTTCATCATAGCCTCATTGCGAGCTAAACAGGTCAATTTTCCATTTGCTAAGCTTCTCATCAAAGCTCAGGAACCCTGGCTATCACATCCTAGTCTCAGCACTCTCCAAGCCAGTGCTGAATACAGATTTTCCTTCTGTATCATGTATTACCAGCTCCTGGGTTTGCTTTGTCTAGTCTCTTCTCTGCCCTTACCTTGTCTGTTTCTTCTGCCCTGTTTAAGGTCTGCTTCTTGTCCCCCATATTCAAATCAGACATTCTCTTCTTTGAGGCTGCTTGGGCCCAGACAGGAGGTCTTGAGTCTGTCAAGGGACAGCTGTGCTCTGCAATGCCTCTCTGTCTAGATCAGTGAGTGTGCAGCCCCAGGTCTGGACCTGATGGTGAGAAGAGACATGGGTATGCACCATACACCTGCCTGCACTACTTTTTTTGTGAATGAAAACCCAGCTGTACAATCAGCACAGAAGCTGTGGAACACCCCAGTGACTTCTCCAGCCTGTGGGGGTACATGTAGCCTGCAGTTTAGACAGGCAGACAAAGAACAATGACAGTCTCCTTGTTTTCTTGTGTGATGTCCAAAGACATCACAGCCTATAGCACCTTAGACCTGTAATAATGAATAAAATCCTCTTGCCTAACAGAATATTATCGCCGCCAACAGAGTTCTCAGGAACTAGCTGTGAAAAAGCAAGGTGCTCTCATTGAGCCTATATAAGGCTTTCAGCTTAAATATACATAGGCAAGTTTGCATGGAAATATGAAATGCTTCAGATACAAAGATTAGTCCATAACCAGTTCTAAAGCATGTAGTGGTACCACTTTTCATGGAAGAGGATGCTAGAAATTTTTGTCATTGACATTTATATTTCCTTAATCTCACTCTTTGAAATGATTGAACTATAAAGGTTTATTTGCCTGAAAGACATCTGAAATGGTTGGATCATTTGGGATGAAGTAAATAAGAAAAAAATGAACAACTAAGACTGAAAATTTCAGTTTGAAAGATTTGATAAGAGAATTATAAGGAACTGGATAATTTATCTTTCAGTTTTGATATGTTCAGCAACAATAGTGCTACCACCTTCAAGTATTAAAATATAATTAATATTTATTTTATTTTAAGAAAAAATGTCATTAGCCTTTACTTTATATCAATTTTAAACCCTTTGATTGTTCATAAAAAACAGCAAGGTCAGAAACTAGGACCAACTTTGTACTTGTTTTTCAAATGTTCATTCTCAAGGCTTCATCATCCAAGACCTTCCACTAAGCTGTGTAATATAAAAGTCCAGAAGGTGGCAGCAAATATTCTTCCTCACAAGAAATTAACTGTTCCAAAGAAAGCTAACATGCCCGTGGCCAAAAAAGTTTCAGCCATTTCCTTTTTATAGGCATAACTGTACTGTATTTTGATAATTGTACACGGATAAAGATTAAATGGTAATGGAAAGCACTGATTTTCTGTCATTTACTCAGGTGCAAACTGAGCTAACTGAATAACTAGTTGATGATAGGTTAGCAGCCTTCTTTATGTTTCTTTTCCATGCAGTCGCTTTGCAGTAGTGAAAGCCTAATTCTAACATCTTACTTTTCTACCATTACTTGACAAGTAAAAGGCTTTCATTGTCAAAAGCAGAATTTGTCACAGAACTTATGTAAGACGGTTGACAGTAACTGTTTCATTAGTTTGTAATGATGAAAACAAGATTATTCTCACCTGAAGTAATGCCACAGTTGTAAACTATCTAAACAGAATAAATTAGACTCCAGTTCTAAAATTCCCTACAAATTTTTGAAAGCAAGCCCTCAAAGGACAGCTTTGAGGAATTTAGTACATGAACTATGGATTCTAATCTATTACTAGTCCCAGTACAGCCACTGAGAAGGCTTTACTTGTTAGACGGGTAAGATTCCCTGCTTCTCCAGTCATTAGGATCCCCGTTAACCAAAATGCTGCATTCCAATTTTAGCCTGCTAAAATTATTTCCAGAGTTTCAAATAAACATGAATTTTCCATTTTATTTCAAAATTTTTGGTATTCATATTGTAAAATAGCAGTAGCATTTATTCCAGAGTGGTAGCATTTCAGAAAGAAATTATTTTTTCATTACATAAATTGTAAATGGCTCTCTTTGTCTTTCAGTTTCACATACATATCAAGAAATTTGAAATAGCAGTAAGTTCCAAATAACTGATTTTTCCAGGCTATTGATTCAGATATTATTGAATCAGAGGTAGACATTCACACTCCTTGAACTTACATTAAACAGATCTATACATGCACACACCTTTTGTAAGTACTGTGTTTACATTCATTTACTTATATACTGAAATAGTTCCCTTGGAAGTAATTTTACATTCATTTTAGTTTATATTAATACACAGCTTATAAATATCAAAGATGCCTGTGGTACAACAAATGTTTTCGTCATTGACCAGTTTATAAATATTTTGCCTCTTTAAAATCAATGTTAACTTAAACCTAAAGTTTAATCTGTTTGCACAAACACCTGAGCAGTCAGCAGCTGTTGTTAGGACTCTCTGATTACAAAAGACAGCTCTGAACTGCCTTTCCCCTTCTTGACATTCAAGAATCACTTTCCCTTCAATAACTACTGTAGAAAAGATCTTTCCCTCTGAAAATGTTCACATGAGGCAATGGAAAAGAACAAATTAATCATTGCACAGGGTTCTGGTTTGTTTTGCAGCACAATACTTCAAGTCCTGGTACAATACTATAATGAATGTTTACAGAAGATTACAGTAATACAATACCTGATAATGTAATAATTCTGGTAACATATCACTTTTCTTTCCCTTCTCCCTCGATTTCTGGGAAGAAGAATGGAATATCTCTACCCCTCTTTTTATGACCTTCTTGTAGTTTAAGGGACAAAGAGGGTAGAATAATTATTCTTGATTTACACTTCAATTTTCCCACTGTCTCACTTATGATCTGGGGCTTGTGCATCCTTTTTAGTACATGCTTGTGAAACGAGATAAATATGAAGGAAAAATAGTAGAAAGTTTCCCTGCATCTAGCTACTGCTGTCCAGTAAATGACCGATGAATTGTAATGATTAAATGTTGCCTTAATTCCAATGTTTGTGTTTGTTAGTTTGAAGGGGCTGAACACCAAAATAGTGATAGCAGTCAGTATATGAATATCAAATACAGATCTGCTTTGAATTTAGAAAAGTTCAGACTTAGACTTTCAGTCTAGGAACACCAGTACCAAAAATAAAAATTAACCTCAATGACAACATCTCTCAGTTCCTGCATTTGAGATACACTTACCTTTTAGAAAAATCATGCTTTTCTACAAGTGCTTCAAACCTATCTACCACAGAGTGTAAAAAAATATGCAATAATACATATTCTGAAGCCAAAGATTATTCAATTGCACAATAAAGTTGGGGTAGATAGAAATAGTCTATTTTGTAAGTCAATAAACTATTGCAAAATATGTCACTATGCAACATACAGAAATCTGCTGTGCAGGGTGCTATTGGATTACTTTTATTACAACAGATACTACCATAGCAATCTTAGTAGTCACTAAATTCCTCCTCTTTAAGGTAAACACTGAAGCATTATGGCATACTGCACGTAACTGATGCATTTGCTATATTTCTTCCATAAGTGACAAAAGAAATTCAATAACTTTCTGTGAAACAGACATGAAAATTAGAAAGATATTCCCCTGAATCCAAAGGATTATAACTGCTTCAAGTTGCAGCCACTTTACAAAAACTTAGTAGAATTGTTTCAGGCCAAAACTGATACTCAATTTTCCTAGATTTGTTAAAAATAAAATTAACACAAAATCTTGTTTCATTCCCGCTGAGCTTATGGGAAGGTACATGATGATGACAACTGCTCTTTATTGTAGGAAGACTGTAATTCAAAATAACTAAGGCTAACTTCAGCCAAACATATTTTTACCTTGTTGGATCCTCTGAGTCTTCAAAACCTCTTCTGCCCACCTTCACTATAACTGTGACACTTTCTCTTTGGAAAATGTAGAGAATGCAGCCAGCTCCTTCTATCAATAGCCATTTCCTTCAAAAAATATTGGTCCACTCTTCCTCCCCATTGAAAGTCAGACAGCCAGACACAACGCTGTAGCCGGAAAAAGTAAGTCAGTGGGGCTCTCTTATGTTTTTCCTCAAATTCCTTCAGACCCTTATGGAATGGACAAAGTACTTCAGCCTTTTTCCAGACAAATCATCTGGAAGACTATTTGCAGAAGCAGATTTTGTCCTCTCACCATCCGAATAGATAACTCTTAGTTAAAACCACACATTTTTCAGCCCTTCTTACATGGAAGGAGAGGTTAATCCTTACTTCACCAAATCTAGTGGAAACAGAAATACAATTTCACATTTTAGAATACAAAAAGACAAGCTATCAAGTGGAAAAAGAGAAGAATTTATCTGGTTTGGGATTATCGAAACAGAACCAAGTATGCTAAAGAACTGCCTACAGATGAGATTCATCTGATAGCTGACAGTACCATAGTTTGAGAGTTTGATATTGCAGCAGGAAATTTGTTGATGTGATTTGGATGTGGGTTGAACAATCATCCAGAAGGAAATAATCACTGATTATATTCAGTGATACAGATCTTACTGAATGTGTTCACTGTAGCCAATGTATCTAGTCTCCAAACAAGATACTTAGCAACTAACAAAGCTGGGGACATTTTTTGGATAATCTAGTCTGTTTCTCTGTCAGAATGAAGTCTCTCAGATGATGGCTATTAAGATGAAGTCTAGAAATGTACATAAATATGAAAAATCGAAGAGACCAATTAAAAAAAAAAAAAGGCGTAAGCTACTCTGGCAAATTGAAAGCCAGCACTTTGGCAAAATGGACAAGGCTTGAAATAACTACTCTTATCTTGGGGTTCTGAGGTAAATAAGGAGAATATTTATCAACTTTTAAAGCAATATCTACCACAGAGTGTGAAAAAATGTGCGATAATGCATATTCTGAAGCCAAAGATTATTCAATTGCACAATAAAGTTGGGGTAGATAGCAATAGTTAGACAAATAGTGAAATACACTTGATAACTCAGCATTCTGATTAAACTCTGTCAAAGAAAATTAGCTCCTGCTTTATGACTAATGGTTAGGCCTAAAAGATACCTCCGCAACTTGATGAACTCAAGAGTTTTTAAAAACTTGAGAGCTTTTTTCTAAGCATGACAGACTAAATAGTATCTTTATCTAACTGTCTTGAAGTTTCAGATATTTTATGTAACACTGCTTTCAACAATATCATTTCCCTCTGCTTCTCTGGAATCCTACAAAGTACTCATGGGACTTGGAACTGGAATCTCAATTAAATAAAGGGGAAATCTTCTGTCTATTCAGCACAATGTCCTAAAACCCTCTTGAAATCAGTTAACAGAGGTAGACTAACTACATGAACCTGTTTGATTGACTTTCTCATCCCTCTGCATAACCTTATCTTCTAAGTTTCATAATTCAGGTTATCAGATTAATTTCTAATAGACATTGTATCTCATTTTGCACACTTATTTTAATTTTTCATTCTAAAAAACTTATTCTTGCCAATAATTTAATCAAAATGCACTAACCAGGCTTGCTGACTAAGCTCTTTTCTGTGGATTCAGTGAAGAAAGAAATTAGAACACATTAGAAGAAGGAAAAGTATTCTGAATGGCCTATCTGTGTCTGCCACTAACTGGCCCCAAGCATGATCTATTATTACCTGGACTTTTATTTTCCTGCTAAGAAAAAGAAATCCCTCCCATTTGGTGAAGATATGGAGAAACTTTAATCCATTCTTGACCATATATAACTTCATCTATGGGAAAAAAAGTTCCATATGAACTTTTATTCACTTACCTTCCAAATAGATAATTCTTACATTTTATATGCCACCTTATTAGAGTACTCAGTTGGGATCTGTCTATATGTGATGATCTAATCAGCCACATTTTAATGTTTGATCATCTCAAAGTTTAAGTGAGGAATTTTGAAAATTAACTGAGATAAGTTGCCCCAAATTAGGTCCTTTTTTTCTGAATAGAAGTAGAACCTCATGAAAATTTGCTATAAGTCTGTGGGGGTTGGATTAATGTTGGGGAGTTTCCTCTCTGAAACTGCAATCTGGGAGTAGCTGGTCATAGCTAAGAGGTGAAAGGGTCATTCTGTTATAAACCATTATTTCTGAAACTTGTCAAAACTCTCATTACATAACTTCTATGAATCACTCTACACCTTTTCTAGGAGATTCAGACTGAGCACCACAAAACTGACTGAAAATTATGAACTCAGTAGTCTCTCTCTCAGTTTCCATCTCTCATATACAAGGCTGATATTAAAACATAAAAGCCTGTGTGAAGTAGAGGTCTTTTAAGTTTCTTAAATGCATCAAGATCCTGTGACAGACTAGTCTATAGAACATGAAATGTCTATGTGAATCTTTACTAGATAAGCTATACCTTGTATGATCAGACACCTGTTGGCTGGTATCTGGACCATGCTCACAGTAATTTAAGTTTTGGAAGCTAGTTAGGAAAAGTAACAGAGCCAATGTTGTTTGAATTAAATTCTAGCAGAGCTGCCAGCAAAAGAGCCTGGATTTTCACATCAGATTTCAGAGTTAAAGGCATTTAAATCTCAGGATATGAATCAGCGGCTGTAAATCAAAGAGTTTAGGAACCACATCTATAGAGACTACTTGGTAAGAACAATGTAATTTATCTGTGTAACACAAAGAACATGTTTGGCTTGAAGAAAATACTGT